TACAAGTTCTTTGTAAAGGAGTATGGGCCTTAGATAACAGTCCCATCATTGCTGACACCGAAAACACAAAAAAATGGTCCTACTGAATAGGGAATAAGGAAAGGGAATTTATAATATACAATGTAAGTTTGATTACTAGAAAGAGAATGGCCATGTTTTACATCTCAATCTTGGTTAGCAAACAAATTAAAACAACCTTCCCAAACAGAAGAAAATGACATTATAAATTATGTGAATTTAAATTTAATTAATCAAGGTGGAATTATTAGTAAAACCGCATCCCTGTGCGACTAGCAGAGATTTAGATTGAGTTGCACTTGTGCTGGGGAAGTGCTTGTGGTTTGCATTTTCTGAATAAATAGGAAAATAAGAGGTTCCTGAGGGATGCAATGGTGGCTAAGAATTAATGCCCCTGTACAAGAAATGCAAATCGAATCCTAAGCCAAGAGTTTGGACCAGTGCAATGCTGCCTCCTGTCAAATGCAATAAAGGCTAGAAAGAAAAAAATCCTGAAATTGCTCAAATTTGAAATAGATTTAGTTTTGAGATCTCTAGTGTGCCCAAGAGTGCCTGATAATAGTTTGATTTGAGGAAGACAACCTAAGCCAGAGGAAAGATATTTAAAGTTTATTCTTTGTCTTGTTTGGTTCCCTTGGCTTTCAAATATACATATGATATGAAGACAGCACCATTCCCTAAAGCTGCTGAAAGCACAACCACATTGTTTCTTTCAGCATATCAGAACTGTTACAGAATCACAGAATCACATGGATTGGAAAGGACTTCTAGAGATCATGGATCCAATCGCCCCGCTAATGTAAATTCCGCAGAAAAGCATCCAGGCAGATTTTGAATCTCCAAAGAAGGAGACTCCACAGCCCCTGTTGGCAGCTTTTTTTTAGTGCTCTGTCATCCTTACAGTAAAAATTCTTGCTCATGTTCATATGGAACCTCTTGTGCTTCAGTTTGTCCCCAAGTGCTCCTTGTTCTACCAGTAGGCACCACTTAGAAGAGCCTGGCCTCATTATCTTGATTCCCAAGTAAACACTGTAAGATCTGGAAAAACATGGGCAGACTGGGAAAAAAAGACTGCAGAGGCACATCACATCAGGGAGGAGCAGATGGTTTTATCTGCTTCTAATTAATTATAATTTTTAAAATACATACTTTCTCTTACAACTACAGCTGCAAGCAAAATTAAACAACTGGGGAATATAGACAGTAGCAGAAGAGTAACATAGGAAATAGCAATCCAACCCAGTTAAAGATATCTGATCTGGTTAGGTCACAACTTAAAAAGGTGACCTCAGAAGAACCATGGTGTTAGGGAACTACTTTAGTGGGTGGCAACCTGAGAGGATGTCAAAATCAAGTTCCTGCTCAAAGCACTGAAATCAGAGTAGGGACATTGTCTGCCTGAGTCTTTTGAGTCTAGGAAACCTTCAAGCACAGAGATCACAGAAGCTCTCTGTGCAACCTGTTTCAGTGCTTAATACTTTTCATAAAACAAAACTAACCAACCAAATAAACAAAATAAAGCAAAAAAAAACAAAAGTGTGAATGGAATTTCAGTTGCTCCAATGTATGACCACTGTCTGTATTTCCTCCACTGTGCAGCTCAATAAATAGCTTGCCTTGTCTACTTGATAATTTCTTCTTAGGTACTGGAAGTGAGGGCTGCTAATAGTTCTTCTTAAATCCCTTCTTCTCAATAGTTCTTCTCAAATCCCATCCCTTTTCCAAGCTGAATAAGCTCTGTTCCATCAGCCTCTCCCCACTGGGCAAGGGCTTGAAACCCCTGTAATCTCACTGACTTTACACAGTGCTTACTTCAGCATCTTTCCTGTACTCAATCCCAGATGTGGACACAGCACACTAGACAGCATTCAACGATTTCCAGGCAAAGGGGAATAATCATGTCCCTCAATCTACCTGCTACACCCTGTATGTTGCAAATTTCATTTCCTGCCAACTCTGACTCTTGCTCAGCCTACTGTCCAGCAAGTCTTCCATGACCAGATGTTTATTTTTTCAATTGTTGCACACATTCACTCTCACAGAAGCTATACTTGATCAGAAATATAGCCAGTATCTGATTTCATCACTCCAGGGAGCATAAGATAAGTTTAACAATTGCCACTGGGAACATAATATGCACTTCCAAATCTTTGGTAAGTGAAGGAAAACAAAAGATACACAAGATCTATACCACAAATATCTCTCATTACTGTCACCTACCTGGCCCAGTAAAAGTGATTCTATCTGCAGAGAAATTCCTTGATTCTTTCCTCTGAACAATGATAACCTCAACTCACAGTTTATCAGGACCTGTAAGTCATCTGAGCACATTTTTTCTGCTACTCAGCACTTTACTACACCTTATTACTCAGCACCTAGCAATGCCCTTAAGTTGCACCACGTGAGATTCAGGTCAGATACTAGGAAAAATTTCTTCCCAGAAAGAGTAGCGAGGTATTGTAATTAGTTGCCCAGGGAAGTGGTAGAGTCACCATCCCTGGAGGTGTTCAAGAAACATGGATACGTGTCATGGAGGAACATGGTTTAGTGGGCGTGGTGAGGATGGGTTGATGGTTGGACTTAATGATCATAGAGTTTATTACCAATCTTAATGGTTGTATGATTCTGCTAAGAGGTATCAGTTTAAAGAGAGACAGAACCCAAAGGAATGGCATGGAGCTGCATCAGGGAATGGTTCATTAGTGAGAGGATGGCTAGCACTGGAACAGCTTGTTTAGAAACAGCTTCTTCCTGAAAATTCTTCTTCCTGTAAATGCTGCTAATGTACTGAGTGCATCCAAAATAACAGCAATTTTTATGAAGGTCAACAGTCAAGCACACAAATGCGGACAGTTTCTGTGAGGCTGATGTTGCCAAGGAAGTTGTTCATTTAATCTGTAATAAGAGACTGGCTATGCCAGCTCAGAGCATGTGGGTAAATAGAGAACAAGAGGTTTATATTGCATTTGTGTTTGGTAAGGACAGAGGGAGCATGGCCATATGCAAGAGACTGCATTCATGATTTGAAAACAATAGAGAATGAGAAGAATTCAGTCAATACGTTGGGTTAAAGTCAATTTACTAAGGGCTTATTCATGTCACAAGATGAGGTTCCCATGACACAATTGTGAAAAATGCTCAGGAGAACCAAAATACACAACATGTCATAAAAAGATGAGTAAAAGCAGTAGGAAACAGGTTCCCTCCAGCTCAACCAGGGGAAATGCTTCAGCTGCAACTCTGGCATTTTTGATCAGCATTTTATTCCTGCTTTGAGTCAGAGAGCAAGCAGACAGGTGCATCTGGCCCACGCTGCTCCCAGAGAACCACCATGATTCACCACTTGGGAACAATCAGCACCTTGTGCCTCTCAGATATATGCAGTAGGTAAATCTAAATGTTAAAAGCCCCATAAAATCCACATATTTTTCAACACCTTTGTACTCATTCCTGGATTTATGTTTTATAGATGTTCCTTCTGATCCTCCCCAGAAGGTATCAGCCAGATGGATGCTGTGGATTTGGGTAATGTCAGAAACTATTTACATCTGACCTACAGAAGCCCTGATGCAAAGTGCAGAGAAGTCATTGACAGTCTTTTCCTCTCTTTCTGTAGTGTTAGACTGGGTTTGTGAAATTAAAACTTAGAATGGGAGAGAGTACAGGTGGTTTTCTTAGAATGCAAAATATGTTTCTTTAACCTTTGTATTTCTAGAGGTAGTTGAACCTGTTCTTTCAATCTCAAATAATGTTTTCATGCCAGAAAGTGAGATTCACAGTCACTCTTGTACACATCCCAAGGAAAACATACAAACCCTGGGCAGTGAAATATTAGTCACAAACATTAACATCTCCATTCGCATAATAATTGGTTACAGCAGCAGCAGATTTCCTCTAGGGCTGAAGAAAGCACTTTGTTGCTCTGATTAGGAACCACATCAGTTTCTTTGGACAAATTAACAGCAACATACACACAGGGAAGAGAGAAGAAAAGTAAAGATAATAACTCTAATTTCTAATTTTGATGTGAACTCTTGTAAATATGCTCACAGTAGGAGAAAGACACAACACACATTCAGAGTCTCCACACCTGGAGACTCAGCAAACTTATGTCAGTGTGGTGCTCTTTACAGCTATTCAGCTGCCTTTTTAGTGCTCAGTTTGCATCCAAGTGTTCCATGAGCATGATCCTTTAAAAGCACATGTTTAGAAGAAACAGGATAGAGAGAAAGTAATGGTAGAAAGGGAAGGAAGCTAAAGAAAGAATACCCCTATTTCTAGATGTGTTCAAGCTTTAGAAAAAAAAACAAAGACCAATCTTGGATGATTCCCTCAGATTCATCCATTCCTGCATTTTTAAATATGCTGTTTTTATGCGAATGTCTGAATGAGATGGACAAGGAAAAGTATAAGAGAAACAGAAATAAGGAGATACGTCAATAAACACGTTCAATTTGCAAGTGAAATCATCCCCACGTACAGGAACCAAGTGCCTTGCAGATGTAATTGGAGATCTGAAAGTCAAATTGTGACCTTTCCGTCTCCTTCCCTTTCACCAAGAATAATGATATCTGTGATCAGAATGTAGCTGATTTGGCTTGGGTTTTTTTGTTGGCTAGTTGGTTGTGGGTTTTGTTGTTGTTGTTGTTGTTTTTGTTTTTATTTTTATTTTTGTTTGGTTGGTTTTGGTAGTAATCCACGAGATGGAATATCATCACCTCCCTCATCTAGAGATGCGTTCACTCTGTGAAAGTCAGATTCTGCATGTGGCAGACAAGAAACGTGCCTGAATCACATAGAAAAGCCAGATAAAATGACTCACTACGTACTATTTTTACCTAGATCTCTGGGTTTTTCTTTTCTTTTTAGAGTCAATTTTTGTATGATTTGTGTTCAGCTCCACTACAAGATAGTTCAGAAAGGCAACATAGCTCAATTTAGAGATTCAGCTGAATTTTTGCCCCATGAATATGTCACTGTATGGGAAATGTTGAATCACAGCCTGAATCTCTGATTGATCACCTGAGGTGAGCCATGAGTCAGCCATGGGAGCACAGGTGAAAGCAATTCACCTGTGCTGCTGGAAGGGGTGGAGCCTGGCTCCATCTCTCCTAGACCCATTTAAGAGCTGACTAGCAGTGGGTAAGGATCTCTTCTGGAGATCTACTCTGCTGGAGTTTTGTAAGTGGGCCCAGGATATGGGTAAGCATCCTGTCTTTCTGCTTTGGTGTAATAACTGCATAGCTAAGCTCTCTAGCACATCTCATAACTATAACATCTGTACATCTGTTGATTGTACAGTCACCTAGCAAAGTGAGAAGATGGACAGCTGTCTGATTAACTTTGTTCTGTTATGTGAATTCACTGCTGAATGCGCTGACATACACTTGCTACAGCAACATCTTTCTATCTATTACTTAAATGGAAACTTTAGGAAAGACAAAAATTTCTCTACGTGACCTAATAAGTATTCTTCAAATGCAGGCTCTATGAATCTAAGGTAAAACTACTAGTCAGAGAGGAAAAAAAAAAAAAAAATTACTGAAATGAAAAGAGGGCAAAGCAGGTCAAACAAAATAATAGAACTATCTCAGTGCTGCTTATAATGTGTTCTAATAATAAATTAATCAACTGCATGATAAAAATCTACAGGGAAAGCTGTTAATACAAGTGAGGCAAAATCTGACTTTGAACATCTTTCACAAAACAGCTTCCTAGGTTAGTATGTAGGTCAACTGATACACACTGAAGCTCCCAAGTTTGACAAAAAAGCAAAATGCATCATATGCCAACTCTAGACTATTTAGTCAATAATCCATGAATGTAGTGAAGCTATGCTTGATTTATGGCTACAGACATTTGGAGACATTATCTTTCTGTCATTGGAAGCATGGTATATACTCACAAGAAGTAAAAGGAAAACAAAAACAAAGACCTTTCTCTGAAACAATGTCTACAATGAGAGTGAAAGGCTGTAGAACTTCTTGCAATGCTTAACTGCACAAGCAAAAGAGTTGTGTCTAGATCTTATACATAGACCATGACATCCTAAAGTCTGAATTCTGAGAGCTGTCAAACATCTGGCTTCTCAGTTTGGTTTGATGATTACTTAACACTCAGGAAAACCCATACACTATTCTTCAAAAGCAGTAAACCAGAAGATTTGTTTGGGTAGTAGTTAAGGATAAAAAGGTTGGTTGTATAGCTAGTAGGATAAAATAAAATGTATAAAGTAATGCTTCATTAAAATATTTTTTAAAGTTTCTTTTAAAAAGGAAGAAAAATAATATAAAATAATTCTAAATAAAGAATCCCAAGTTGAATACTAATAAATAATGGCATCCATTATTGATTTCCGCTCTTCAGCCAACTGTAGGACATGTGTTTTTCAAATCTGAGAGGGGGTAACAAAACCACATACTTGATAATTTAGGTAGTTGTCTTAGTTTCATCTGTGACCGAGTTGTTTTCTTCAGTGTTGGGTATGATCCTATATTTTGGTTCTAGGAGAAAAGCAATGTAGTTAACACGCTGCTAAGCAGTGTTGTACAGAGCCGAGACTGTTCCGGCTTCTCAGCTCATACTGATGAAAGGTTGGGAGAAGACAGGATCAGGACAGCTGATTTAAACTGGCCAAGGGGATATTCCATACCATATGACATCGTGCAGAAGGAAAGTTTTGAAGGGAGTGGGAGTTCATCTTCTGCTCACTGGGGGAATAGCTCCAATAGGCATTGGCTGTTTTTGGTGAGCAATTGCTTGTGCATCGCTTGTTATATACATTCATATATATATGTATTTAGTCATAACTATTCTTCTTTTTCTTTCTCTATCTTAGAAAATAGTTTTATGTCAACCCGTGAGTTCTACTTTCTTTTATTTGATTCCCTCCCCCAACCCACTGGGAATGTGGGGAGTGAGCAAACAATTGTTTGATCCTTAGCCACCTGCCAGGTAAAACCACAAGAGCAGCTAAACTAGCCTATATACCCATTTGAGTTCATTGCCATCTTCAAGGGAATCTAGTTCTAGACTCAGTCCAAATTTACGTATCAACAGATTTTTATGTGAGCCTTCAGTCAAATTGCTTACATCCCTTCCGATTAATTCTACATGGAGAAGCATAAAAAGCTGAACTTGAAATGTTTTTGAGGGGTCATCTAGTACACATTCATGCACAAAATTCACTCTTATCTAAATCTCTTCCAATTACAGCAATCGCCAAAATAATATATTATTTGTATGTGTCAGCTTCTTGGCAAAATGTAAGCAAGTGAAAAAAGAGCAATCTTTCCTTTGAGTTAGACTTTGGAATTGAAACCCTTAATATTCTGCTCACATTAGACTATTTTATTTTTCTAATGTAATCTTCCTAAGGTCCTCACCTTCAGCTGAGTTTAAAATATGAAATCAACATATTCACTGAATTTAAAACTTCTTACTGAAATGTCTTCTCATGTTCATTTCTCCTCACTTCGTAACATGGAAGTGTATCATGTCAACACCCTAAATAGACTGCAAAGTTTCTAAACAATAGCAAACTTGGTGAAGATCTAATAGAATCAGTATATGGCATTATTGAGGCTGCTGAACATGAGAGATGGGGCAGAATAGAAAACAGTGCATGTAGACTTTGCACATTAATCCTTTCATTTCTATCTTCACTTCCCACTGGAAGGAAAGACAGATTTCTGCAGTAGGTCTTGGTATGAACTTACAGTCAAGACAAAAAAGTCTGCAGGTACCAAAACAATGAGTATTCATTCACTAGGTTTGCAAGCTGTATTTTTAACCTGAAACGAGCATCTGTATGGTATGTGTGTGTGTGTGTGTGTCACCTAAACAAAGGAGTTTTTGCTGATATCTTCTTGGAGAAAAAACAACAGGAAAAAAGAAAAATGAAAGAAAAAAGAAAAAAACTTTTTGAAATGAATATACTTATTTTTCAATCCAAATTATCATAGTCTCCCTTGTATACATTGCTATTTCAATCAACATCAATGACTGTGTTTCCTTTCAAACAAAATGGCTGTTGGTAAGACATTAGATTCCCTGCAGTACAAATGTCCTAGTTTTTAACTAGAAAATCTGCTGTTTTGCACTTGTCCTAGGGCAGCCAAAAATCTACTTGCTAATAGTCTTAGCTCCTACTGTGTCTGCCCTATTTTCTGATACCTTGGTATGCAATTATCTATTATGATTTCAAAGGAGCAACATTACTAGCCATCCTACATGTCTACAAAATATGCTAGTATCATATCCTGAGACTGAGATTTCCTTAAGAGTATTAAATTAATCTATACATTACAGCCAATTCTTGGAATCATATTTGAGATCATTTCTATTTTGAAGGTTTTCCTTTGGTCACACATCCTAATCCTATGTGATTAAAAAGGATATTTTTTTCCTGCATTTCCAAGCCCTTGCACAAAAGCAAACTTCATAGGCAGATTTAGGCAACCTGTAGTTTTAAGATCAAGAAATAATGAATATTCAAGAAATATTTTTAGAAAAGACTGTGCAAAAAGGGTGAGCTGTAGTGTGGTTCTACACTGGAAATATGAGATGTTTCCACAAAAAATAAGATAAAATCATAGAATCACTCAGGTTGGAGAAGACCTTAAAGATCATTGGGTCCAACCATGACCTAACCATACTGCTCTAACAAACCTTTGCTAAATCATGTCGCTGAGCACCACATCCAAACGGCTTTTAAACACATCCAGGGATGGTGACTCAACCACCTCCCTGGATGTGCCGTATTATTTTTCATAACATTACCAACTTCTGTGAAAGTTTGGTGGCCACCCTATTTTCAAAAATTAATCAAACTGAACAGCTTCTGATGTCAACTGTGATGTGATGTCTGCCTGCTTAACTGAATGAGAGGTGCATGACTGTCTAGGAAATCTGCAAATAGACTCGCTTGCCATCTCTTTGCAGAAATACACTTCACACTCCTCACTCCTTGCCCAGCATATGTGCAGCACTCTCTTCAGGCTTTCTAATATTGCTGCCTGCTCTGGAAGCCTTGTCTGTCTGTTGCTCTACTCTGAATTTTAAATATGAGGCAACCATGACAAAGCATAGCAAGATCAGTCTTGCCAAAGTCAAAAGAGTTCATATACACCTGAGACTGTGTTACTATGAGATTTGATGTGACATGTGAAGTTCAAAAAAGACTTTATAAAGCACCGGGATGTCATTGTATAGAACAGTATGAGCCTTTGTTTCAGCCTTCATCAAGTTTAATTCTCAAATCTATACTCCAATATTCCTACTTTTCTTACCTGTATGTCAAAGGCTAGATGTGGCACTGAGAGACACAGTTTAGTGGGCATGGTAGTAATGGGTCGATGGTTGGACTATAAGATCTTAGTTGTCTCTTCCAGCCTTAACGATTCTGTGATTTTATGATTCAATAAATATACGTATTACCTCATATAGTATGTACACAGTAATTCTACCTAGCTGTTTGTTTTTTTTTTTTTAATTCTTCACAAGAACTGGCCAAGATTCTGTTTATGGAAGCGACATGGATGAAATAAACCCTGCTTAGCATGATGTTGGGAGGCACTGGATATGGTTTCTTGACTCTCTAGCCCAAGCTCCGATTAGTGCAACCAACAGACTGCACACCCACTGAGAACAGTCAGAGAACACAACAGTGCACTATGGCTCCTGCTCCCTTCCACAGCCTGACAACAGGGAGACAAGAGCTCTAGCTAGCCTGGCACAACAGCTATTGGGAAGTTTGGCATGCTGCTCTGATGAGCAGACTGTGTGGGAGCATCTGCCCCTGAATGCAGAAGAGAAGAAACAAGAGTGAGAGTGATACAGAAGGGCTCTTGGACAGCCCAAAGAATCCTACTGATGCAAGCACAGGCATTAACAAAGGGTCATTCTGCTCCATCCCCTGTAATCCAATCAGCTAATATCCCTTTTTAATTAACTACAATCAAGTTAGCATAATGAGTGCCTTCGCTGTTTACCAGCTTCATTTGTCCTCTTCCATTCTTGTATTTAAATCTGTGCAGTCAGGGCTGCTTTTTAATGATAAATGCAAAGTAGCTTGATTGAGGATTGTCCCAACCTTCCCATTAACCTTTGGGGCACCAGGATGCATCCACAAACTGTTAGGCACTGAAAGAGAATATCCTGCTACTCCTATTCCTTGTCAACGTTTTGCCCTCTAGAAAACAACCTCTACGTCTGTGGAGGAATATTCATGTACTGTCAACAGTGATCCAGCATGAGCTGTGCTCAGCCCTATACTTGTACACAAGAAATACATGAAATATGGAGGACGTTGAAGGAGCATGCAGGCATAGGAGGGGCTGTCCTTGGAATGTAGCATGTCAACTATGTTTATTTTTACAGGAAAGGCATTAAAATTCACAAAATATCTCAAAGACTTAAGGGGCGTTCATAGCAATACTCAAAGTCCATTTTTTAATAATTTGCTGTGGATCTTCTCATTAATGCTACAGAATAATTCATTTCACAGCTACTGATTCTTTGTCAGATTATTGCATAGACTGCTTTTTTATTGTTCGGCTGCTGCTAATTGGTGTATATTGTAGGAAAAGAAATATCAGTGCAAGGCTGGCTTAGAAATGCAAAATAACTGGGTTATTATCCTATTTTACAGTGAGACTTCTTTTAATAGCCACTCATTTCTGCTGTTCAAGCAGCCCCTGTGAAAAGGGATTTTGTCCTTCAGCCAGAATAAAAGACATCTTGATGCTAAAAATAAAAGAAACGGGAATCACTCACTGGAGCTGGAATCCTCCCCTGCAAGAAGGCTGTGACAGCACTCAGGCTGGCAGAGGAGTGTCGTGATGAAACAAAGGCAGCAACAGCCCTGAGACATCACTCTGCAGAGCAGGAGGAAAATATTCATAAGGGTCTCAATTAGACACCACCCAGTGATGCTGTCTCTAATGCCAGGCTCACTTATAATAAACCAAACCTTCCCATCAGCTTGACCACACTTAGCCAAAGATTATCTAATTACCCAAATAAATCAGGATGGCCAAATCAGGTTCTGTGGATTAAAATGGAAGTTAATTGAAGCAAAAAAAATAAAAAAATAAAAAAATTGCCAGTCTCTTTCCTTTATTCACTTCTATACATTTTCCTTGTTTTCTTTTTTTTTCTTTTTTTTCTTTTTTTTTCTTTTTTTTTTTTTCTTTCTTTCTTTCCCTGAGCCTGCATGTATCCGCTGCTGAGATCAGTCAGAAGGACCCGTGACTTCAGCTGAGTAGTACTGGTGTTCAGTCTCTCGTGATCCAGCACATACAAAATTGAATGCCTACATTGTAAGAAATGTTTACCTAAAGACAGTTTGTATCTGCACTCAAAGATGATGATTGAAATGGGAGATTTCTCCATGTAAAGCATTAGCTTCCCAAAACCCAGCTAAGCAAGCTACTTTATGTCACATACCAGCCCAGCTACTGTTAAAATGCACAGCTCCTCAGATACAGGATGATAGGAAAATGTAACATCAGACAGTTCTCTCTCTTCAGCCTTGTTCCTTTGCCTACACTGCCCAGGAGCCAACCTGCAAAGGGACAAAGTCTGAAGCTGCCCATTCTCTCTTCTCATCTTGCGCACAGTCCTTCCATTCATCAGCCTTTATCCTAACCAGCCAGCCCAGTGCATTTAAGTGCACATCAGTCAGTTTATATTAGGTCACATCTGAGGGATTCTATAAGCACAAGATAATGACACCAGATCCACTGGCGTTCTCAGGGGGCAGGGGGAAAGGGCATGGGTCAGCTACCCCAGGGCCAGGTACATTATGTGCTGGCTGGCACTGCAGCATAAATAGCAGACACATCACTCAGAAGACTGCCTCCAGCATGTCAGTGACATGAGACTTTAAAAGGCCTAGATACCTCTAACCAGGCTGCTCTAAAAGACAAAATGATGGCACATGCAATGAACCCAGCTGCCAGGTCTATCTGCAGCATTGAGAGCAAAGACATTGCTCAGCTAGCTTTCACTCTCACCACGAGATTGGGGATAAGCAAAGAATCACCAATTCCAGAGAGACCTTCCATAAAAGCACATCACTTGTAATACCTTTGACCTTTACTGTAGAATGGCCTGAGTTGGAAGGAACCTCAAAGACCATCCAGTTCCAGCCTCCCTATCACAGGCAACTGCCAGCCACTGAATGAGGCTGCCCAGGACCCTATCCATCCTGGCCTTGAACACCTCCAGGATGGAACATCCATAGTCTCTCTGGGCAGCACCCTCCCTCCCTGTGAAAAAATTTCTCCCAAAATTGAATCTAAATCTCCCTTCTTTTACTTTAAAACCATTCCCCTTCTTCTATCACTACTGTGTGATTAAAAAGAAGTCTCAGCTGCTATTGCAGAGTTAGTGAAAGACTCTCACTGCCATAACTGCATAGTAATGACAATACATCCCTTCCTGTCTTTGAGGATTAACTGTAAAACATGGGGAAGTTGTAACTCAACATTCCAGTGACACCTACAAGTATCTTACTGTTAGTCCTGAACAGTGCAGTGCCGTGATGCTCTGGAATGTTTTTTGCCTCTTAACAGTAACAGCAACCTACAGATTATGGGCCTGATTCTTTCCATCTCCACTTGATTCTAAAATCAGGTTTGACATGAGCACTGCTTTCTGTTTGTGGTGTTTTTTTTCTCGGCTACTACAGAGATAACAGTTCAAATAAAACACTGCCAAAGTAACTCTAAAAGCATGGAGAGGCCTGAATGGAAATATATTAGGGCTGATAAGAATCCCACTGAAGGCAGAAAGGAGCACAGAGAAAGGAACAATCTGGATCCACAAGAAAAAATGTCTCCATTTTAGTGAGGTCCGCTTTTCTGGGTTCTTCTCTAAAGAACACTTATGTTCCCTAATTCCTTTCTTGGCAATTCATCCATACACTGGTATGCTGCTAGAACACTGCAGGGACACAAATTTCCATGATGCAAGTTGCTTATTTTTCCTTAGTCCTTCTCTTTGTTTGTTTAACTTTGTCAATATGCTTCCCATGGCAATCTCAGCTTTGATGACAGAATTATTAACAGTGGTGAGGGCTGATGGGGAATCTCAAACAGAGTAAACACAAACACATACTGGTGTAGTGCAGTGTTTGTTATTGCATGTGTCATGGTAAAGCTTTATGAAAAGGAAAAGAAATGTTGCACTTCTTATAAAGTTAGTCTCTTGGGAAGCAAACCATGCTATCAAGAAGCAATAGGGGGATATTCTAAATGAGCTTTTAAGCTCTCTAATGAATTGATTTTTATTACCACTCATGGGCAGAAAGGTATGTGATACAGTAGCAAATTTTCAGGTCAAAGCAATCTAAAGTCTAGAAATTACCACAAATGGAATGGCCATTTTATCATCTGTTCCTTTGTATTCTACATCCCTTCTTCATGGGTACTATGACAATCCTTAAATACATAATCACACGCTACTTTTCCCACTGGGTACCTACATCATTCATTGCACATAAGACATGACGTGCACCAACCAGGCAGCTATTTAATACTCCAGATTAATGTCACTTTTTAATGATAAGTCTGTATAATTTTTGTCATGACTCATTCAATCTTTGCGTAGTTTCAATTCATTATTCACTTTTTTCAGAGTGCATCATTATTATCCTTATCTGCTTCAAGAGGGACTTATGAAGATAAGTTTCAAGAGTATTATTGTCCCTATTTTAAATAGGAGGTGCTGGGACTGAGAGATATGCTGTTAGACACACTATTAGATTTGAGAGCCTAGTTTATTGAGCCAGCTCATTGACCTTTCTGAATATTTGACATTTCTGTAGCATTTTTATTCACAATTTGTGTCATGGACACTCGTGGACAAAATATTTGTCAAAAAGAAAATGTGCTCATGTGAGGAATCAGACCTCTCAAACAGGGATGGTGATGGACAACCCCATTGTGCATTGTGCCTTGCAAGAACACCTTTGGCTTGGATTGGTAAGGATTTTATGTTCGCTCCTATTATTCTGTCTGGCCAGTTGTCCTGTGACCACTCCAGCACACACGTAATTCATCATTATTGCTGTATCATAACTGCATATAAAACATTTATTATATAACACAACTACACTACATAAACTGTTCATACAACCAATTCTGCACCTGATAGAGTAAGTTCCATGGACGATTTACAAATGTCTTATCTAAGCACAATTTTATCACTGCTGGGAATCTCTTGCCTGGTCATTCCACCCAGGATGTTAAGAAACACATCTAAGCATATAAGTTAAATCTAGTTAGAGCAGAAGCTACCAGGGGAGGTTTAACTAACAACCAGTTTCAAGTACATTCACTGTACAAAAATCATCCATTACCTTATTTTTACAAATGACTAGCCAAAATTCCCGAACTATTTGGAAAATAAATGATTTACGTACAGTGGGTGTGAACACACAGGCTACATCACAATTACAGTTAAAGAACAACTCCATTCTTACACATTTAACCCATCAGTAACTTCAGCTCCATAAATCTTGCCACCAGTTCTCACTGACTTCACTTAGAGCTATCACTCTTCAACCTTTCTTCAGATGAACCTCAAGTCTCGTGTGTTGCACATCCCAAGGAAGAAGACCGGTTTGGGAAAGGTGTGATTTATCAGTTTTAAATCAAGTATTGTGTTAGGGCTGAATCAAAATCTGCTACGAGCATGAGCAGTTCTCTGGTTAACCATGTGATCTTGTCCCCTACCTTATTCACTGTACAACTAGAAGCCTTCAGATCTTCACAGTCTTAATATCCATCTTCTTCAAGGGCAAGACAGAGCTCTTTTCCCCTTTTCCTCCACACAATCTTGGTATCAAAATGAGAGACT